ACACAGAGTAAAGTGAAATGGATCCAAATGCGAGTTAAAAGGATATTTAACACTGCAGTCTGCAGAGAGCCGGTTAATCAAGGAAACGCAAAGGCAATTTACTTTTGGGAGGGGGGGACATCAGCTTTGAAAAGAAGCATTATAAAATTAATTTCCGAGACAAGGAGGTGGGAGTGATGGAGAGAAAAAGCACTCAAGGCTTGGCTCACCAAAATTTAATTTTGATTATCTTGAATGGGCTCAGATCGCCTTTGCCAACATCTCACGGTGCTAATATCACTGGGCGGCAGGGCCCAAGCAGCCAGTTAAAGTAAACCCCCACCAAGCCGGGCCTGCGCACAGCACTGCTCTAGAGACACCCTCTTTCTTCGGGTTAAAAAAAAAAAAAGAAAAAAACCCACAAAAAACCCACAAAAAAACACAACACACAGTTAACCACCTGTCAGGGCTGAGGACACAATGAGGCGCTTCGAAAAAGAGCTTTTCATGCATGCGTAATATATTTGTTCAGCTATTCACTTAATGAAGCTGATAAATGTGATGCAAGACAATAGTCAAGTTAATCTATTTAGTAAAATGTTTTCGAGACTTTCAGGCTACGTTAAGGAGGGGAGCTTTCGGCGACATTTTCATTTAAATGCGCTCATCTCCCCTCTTAGGCTGCACAAGGGGGCTCAGGCAATCTATGTGAATATAATTTCTTATAAATGTGTCTTTAATGGGTTTAATTCACCCTTGCCAGCTGTTTTGGGGGCTATTTTGTAAGAGCAAAACAAACGTTTCAGGCTTGGAAAGCTAGTTAAAATTAGTTTCGGTCAGCAAGGCCAAGCTATATTTCCTGCAAACCATCTGCTTGATTGGCACAATAGAAGGATTTTCAAGGAAAAAGGGGGGAGTGAGTGTGAAAGGAATGAGCGGTGCGGGGAGATGCTAGAAAGGGCTGGGGCGGCCGGTAGCTCCCTGTGGCCTATTCTGAAGGTGAACCCCTTAGAGGTGTCTTAATAGAGCGGCTCGCCTAAAGAGCTGGGGCTGTAGGAAAGCTCTTACAGCCCGAGCCTCGCCGCCCTCCTCGTTTGCCTCGCGCATCAGCTCCCTCTTTTTCCCTGGGACAGCAGAAGCCAGGAGGCGGGTGCTAATTCCGAGGCCACCGCCACCCCGCAGCCTGCCAGACTTGCAAAGCGGCCTGCCAGACTTGCAAAGCATTCTCTGTTGGTAGCTCCGGTCGGGAGCGCCACGGCCTGGGTGTTTGAACCCTTGCAAAGTGCGACCCTGGGGTCCCAGTCTTGCCGAATTTACGTTCGTTATCGTTTCGGGGGGCGAGGAATATATCAAGCCACTCTCTACTTTTCGGGCACTTCGTCTCCCCATGGGCGGCCTGCACTTACCCGGGGCAGGCGCTCACGCCTCGACCCACACTGGAGAGGGTGAGCCATGGCCAGACCCCGGCGCATCGGGCAGGGACGCGCCAGCTATCCAAGGCCCCGGGGGCGTGGCGGGGGGAAGAAACCCCAGACGGATTCCGGAGCCCTTCCCTTCCCAGGGAGGCTCCGGCAGCTTTGGCCTCGAAGGCCCCAGGAGCCTCGGCTGCCTCTACTGAGGCCTTCCCCCAGCGAGCAGCGGCGCCCGCGGCACAGGCGAGGATCTTCACCCCAACCGGCGCCTCCGATACTCTTTTCCCCTTCCGTCTTTTTTTCCCCTGAAAGATAAACAGAAAGCCCCGCTCTGGGAGAGAGGACGCTAGTGACTTCTCTGAAATAAACTTGAAGATAACGACATTACAATGAATGGCAGGACGCACAAAACCCCAAGGGCTCAGGTCAAACGGCATTAGTCACAGGTCTTAGCCGCAGCCGCCGGCTGCGCAGCCCCTTAGGCTATGGCGGAGTTTGAAAAGACGCGTTCAAGGAAATCACTTAAAAGTAAGATCCTTTCGTCAGATTTCTTGCTTCCTTAGGATTTATTTTGCCTTTTCACGGGCCGCCAGCCCTCGCCCCCGCCTTCACTCTTCCCCTTGGAAAAAGGAAGAAAGGCTATGGAGACGGACCGCTGGAGGCCAAGAACACGTGGATCGCAGCAAGGGGTTGACCCACCTTCCAAAAAATGTCAGGCCCCCCTTTTAAAAGAAGAAACATTAGCAGCAGTTAGTCTAGAGTGAGGCAGAATGGCCGGTGTGTGTGTGTGTGTGTGTGTGTGTGTGTGTGTGTGTGTGTGTGTGTGTGTGTGTGTGTGTAAGGGTGGGAACCAAGGAGCGTGTCAATTGTCAAGATAGTAACTGTAAAAACTACACCCAGGGGGCTTCCCTGGTGGCGCAGTGGTTGACAGTCCGCCTGCCGATGCAAGGGACACGGGTTTGTGCCCCGGTCCAGGAAGATCCCACATGCTGCGGAGCGGCTGGGCCCGTGAGCCATGGCCGCTGAGCCTGTGCGTCCGGAGCCTGTGCTCCGCAACGGGAGAGGCCACAACAGTGAGAGGCCCGCGTACCGCAAAAAACAAAAACAAAACAAAAAAACTACACCCAGGGAGATACCTCAGCTGGAGAGGAGGTCTAGGGAAGGAGGGTCAGGGGGGTCAGGAAGGACTTAGACTGGCTTTGAGTCCTTACCGCCCCTCAATACAAAGCCCTGCAAATGTAGGCTCTATCTTCCAGTAGACTGCAGTCAAATGCTATACTGCTGAGCTACACTTCCTTGATGAGAAACCCAACACCTCTAGTCTGGGTTTTCCTCCTTCCGGGAACTGGCAACGGCTCCTGACAGGGGAGTAGGGGATGAAGGAGGGAGGGAATGAAGAGGGGAAAAAGAAGAGAAGGAGGGAGAGAATGCAAAAACCAGAGCTGGTCCTCCTGCTTCCAGAAAGCAGTTGGTGGGGAGGGGTGATAGCGAATGAAAACGCTGTGGCAAGATTAGAGCTCAGGTGTTCAAACACTTTCGACTTTTTCCCCCCTATTTTATGGCAAAGCTTCAAAAAGAGGAACATTTGAAGTTCTCCGAAGATCTGTCTCTTTCGTTTCCAGGGGACTCCAGTTAACTTGAGCAACGCATTTCCCATATTTAAATAGCCACTTATTTAACAGTTGTTCTTTCGTTAGTGGTTTTCCAGGGCCTGCTGCCCAGAATGCCTCCATAAACAGTCTTGGGCTCAGAAACTCCGTACTTGCATCATGTTAGAGCATTAATTCGGCTCCAGAGCCCGACCTAAATAACTTTTTAATCTGAATCAAGGGAGAGCTTTAGCGGGCTCCGTTTCTGGTTTAATGTGATATAAATCGCAGATGCACTTTTATTGAATGGTTAAAGCAGCGACATGGAGATCATCAACACAAAATGCCCTGAACAAAACCATCGAGAGAAATAAAGCTGGTTAATAAGATTTTTGAGAAAGCTTTGTGTTAAAAAGCAAAAAAGGAAAACCAGCTGAAGGTGACAGTTAGTTCATGGTTAATAGGATCAGGGCGGCCTGGCGGGCTGCACACTTCTCTTTGGGGAGGTTCAGCCACACTAAAGAAATGAATGGGACATTTTACACATCTGTTATCTAGCCGAGCCGAGAAACGGAATTGAGGCTCAGCGCCACCCCAGCCCCAACCCAGCAGAAAACACAGTACTGTCTACAGGAAGATTCTCATTTGAGGCACCAAATTAAGTAAGAATCGTCTTTCCTCATGTGGAACAACATTTTTGGGAACCGCGTCCTTCGTGCTGTTTTCATGTGTTTGTACATTGCAGTTGATGAAGAAGCAGCAAAACTTTGGCCGGGTTAAGCGCCCACAATGGGTAGGACTCTCTCAGGACAAATCCCAACCTTCGCTGCTGTGGTTTTAAAAGTCCAGGCTGTGAGTTTCTACTGAAACTGCCGAGGGCTTGTAGAGGTTAGAAAAGAGCCAGCAGGGCACCCACAGTGTCCAGGTGTCCTTGTCTGAGGCAGCCTCCAGCAGAGGTAAGCCCTTGGGAATGGAATCCGGCTCCCTTGCCCCTTTTCGATGCTGCTCTCTGATCCTCCCCCGGGTGAACTGCCGTTAGTTCCTCAGTGACACTTATAAAGATACGTCGCTGAAAATCGTTTTCTAAGTTGCTGGGAGTTTGCAGGAGGGTCATATTACTATTCAGGTACCCACTAACTCTCTCGATCTCAATTAGTTTCCCAACATGAAATAAATCAAGACCACCCCCCTCCAACCCTAGGGACGCACATCCAATAGCCCCAAAGCATCAATTTCAAGTCTCCCTGGGTTGTTAGAACGGCACTCCCCTACCCCACATTTATTTAACCCACCCATCACATCTGCTTTATGCCTCAGCTGGAGTAATGTACAGGGCAGAGACCGAAGAGGGAGTATATTTTCATGTTCACTGACTTGAAATTTTCCATTGCCCTCCCCACAAGGGGGGAGGATTATTTTACTGATTGCCTGGAGATGAATTTCTATGAATATTTATTGATTTATTTTCCAGGCTCAGCAGGGGAGCTGCAAATAAATTTAGTGCATTCTTTAAATAATTCCTTTTCTATGAGGCAAGATGTCATCTGAAACTTCTAAATAGGCATTTAATTAGCCCGGGTGTTGCTTCCGAACAAAAACTCCCGGCGAGAGCTTTGGGGGAGCACTGTATTGCAAAGAGGCGGTCGATACGCAGAATTGATGCGCGCCAGCCTTTGTTGCCAGCCCATTGTGCGGGCCATGCTTATGAAGACTAATCCAATCATAAATTGCACCCCTGCGCCAATCAGCGCGCCCAGAGCCTCCAGCGAATGAAGCTCGAGTGGAGAACTTTGTTGAACTTCATTGTCAGAGCTGTCACTTTTCAAAACGCTTTAACGGGCGGGCCACTATAAAACCATCACCTCAACGGGAGGACCGCGGAGGACTCGCAGACACCCAAGTGGGATCGTTACTAGAAGACGTTTGCTAAGCCCAAGAGAGAGGGCGGGAGGGGCGGGAAGCCCAGCATTTACCCTCTGGCCACTGGAAGAAGGGTTTTTCCGCCCGCCCCTCGCCTAACATGATGTTCCCCGGCCTCCTCGCGCCCCCAGCCGGGTACCCCAGCCTCTTGCGCCCCACGCCCACCTTAACATTGCCCCAGTCCCTGCAGTCGGCATTTTCCGGCCACTCGAGCTTCCTGGTGGAGGATCTGATCCGCATCAGCCGACCCCCAGCCTACCTGCCCCGCAGCGTGCCCACCGCCAGCATGTCGCCCCCTAGGCAGGGGGCCCCTGCGGCTCTCACAGACACAGGGGCCTCGGACCTGGGCTCCCCGGGTCCAGGCAGCCGGCGGGGCGGCTCACCACAGACGGCCGTCTCCCCTGCCAGCGAGCCCACGTTTCTGAAGTTTGGAGTGAACGCCATCCTTTCTTCGGCGCCCAGAACTGGTAAGTGAAAGCAAAACGCTAAGGGGCCGGTCTAGATGCAGAGTCCTTATGGCCTCAGTTTCCCATACGCAGCGGGTACCCACGCTCACAGCAGTGCACACACGTACGCAAGATCCCCGAGGCCCCACTGTCAAGCAATGTGAGACTTAGGTTCAGACGATTCCCGGGAAGCCTCCAGGTTCGCCCCACCCTCAGAATGAATTTGAACACCTACAGGCCGAGCGGGCACAGTTCCCTGGCGCAGTGAAATTGCGCGCACGCCCCTGGACGTCTGCGTTTCTGTCCTTGAGCTTCTGAAAGCCAGTTTTTTTTTTTTAACCCAAGACAATATATTTACTAGCTTAGCAAGTATTATCGGTCTGCAATTCTTTTCTCCCCATCCCCATCAGTTCTTCTATCTCGTTAGTGCCTAGGATGACATGGCGGGGGGACTCTGAGGACTATTGGGGGAGGGGATTCCACAGATAGAGACAGTGTTAGGGAAAGTTTTACTTTACTGTGTCAGTACACTGAGTAAGATGCCTTTGAAACCAGCCGAAAGGTTAATCATGTCGTGTATTCACTGTGCTGTACAATAATCGTGTACTTAATCAAATTCCCTTTCTGTCTCCCTCCTTCTGTTCCTCCTTTCCTCACTCTCTCCCAGAAACATCCCCCGCCTTGCTCCAGAGTGTCCCTCCCAAGACCTTCGCCTTTCCCTACTTTGAAGGCTCCTTCCAGCCTTTCATCAGATCTTCTTATTTCCCAGGTAGGTCTCATCCCCCTTCCTTTCAGGAGGCTGGGCGTCGCCCCAGCCCCACTCCGTCGCTCCCTGCCCCGAAGCCATATTTCTCCGTCCACCTCACGGGGTTACGCTCCGGTTCAGAGGTTGCAGGGCGTACAACATTCACGAATCCGTCGCGCCAATTTGATGCCCTATTTAGCACAAGCAGTGACTGCTTGACACTTTGCACCAATTCCCTGCTCTACAAATTAGCAGGAATTGTCATGGTCCAAATTTGAGGCGGTTCCCTTCCCGGCGAGGAGCTGTTGGCATCCCTTCACGCCGCCGTTTTCCCACAGAGTCAGTGCACTTGGCCACGATTCCCCACAAAGGTTTCAGCACCATGACCAATTGGTCAGCTCCTCCGGGCAGCCACACACAGACCAACCCTCGCCCCTCCAAGCCGCGGAGAGACACCTACCAGCCGGGGCTAATTTCTCTTTAAGACTCATTCAGGGCTTCAGGCTTTTCACAAGACCACATGGGGTGCCCTCTTGTGTGGGATGCCTGGGGTCGCCCAGGGGGAGGGGGACTAGATCCTCCCACAACCCCAACCTTCTATTTCCTACCTGATTTCCCAAACTCTTTCTCATACCGTCCCCCACCGCCATACCGTTTTAAAGATCCTAGAGCTCGTAAATTAAGTCGGAGGGAAGCCCAAAATTGGGTCCCGGTTTAAAGGAGAAACACCTTAAACAGCTTCCAGGACGTTTTCATCCTGGAATCCCAGTGGTGACGCAAACTATGGCTCAAAATCTCTGCAGCTGGTCAAGATTAAGGAGACAGGAACTCTTATAAAGGGAAGAGAGACTGGGCATGGTCGGTGGGGGATGGGTAGAACCTCGACAGCACTTCCAAATATCAGCGAAAGAAACAAGCAATTGATTTTTGAAAGGGGGAGAGAGAATTCACCCCCCCTCACCATTCATGCTACTGCTGATAATGGAATTTGCTCCCTTTCTCCCCCATCTCAATGCTGTAACAAAAACAACCCGAGCTTTATAAATAGCTTTTCATGTCCATTTAATGAAAATGATTCGGGGAAGAGAAGCCTCTGCCATCAGTATTCTCCCAATGGTCTTGGCCTGCAGTTGTGTTTAGTTTGAAAGTGTAAATCTCTTTTGTCCCAGTAATATATGGCTTTCGCTGCTTGTCCTCAGTCTTTTTCTGTTAGTTCATTACTACACAATTACCATTCACGCTTCATTAGAGTCTCTGTTTCTTTTGGATTTTTTTTCTCCCTTAAAGCGAAACTCTCCCCCCTTTTATCATGCCAATACCCATTGGGAAGCGGTCAATGTGCTAATTAGCTGCCACTTTTCATGTATTCTGGCCGAATTCTTTACGTTTTGTGGGGGAGGGGAGGAAAGATTAATATAAAAAAAGATGAATACTGATTGGATTTTTCAAAACATAGAAAAATCCAAAGCGGATTTTCTCCTCTCTATCAAATCAGTAAATCACCTCATTTTCATCTAAAGAATGCAAAAGCCACAAACGCGTTAAAAGCTTAGGGGGGAACCCAGTGGCTGGATACTTTATTTTTACAATTTACTTTTTTCTGCAGCTATATTAGCTGATGCACGCAAGTTAGTTTCCCTGATATCGTTGAATGGAAAAACGAAATAGGCTATTGTGGGGGGTCTTTTCTGTGTTTCCGTGGTTTTACCTAATCCGGGTTTGCACGGTTGAAAGGGAAAGTTATTTGGGCAGAAAGCGCCTTTCACTCTCGCAGGTTTGTAGGTTCGTAGCCTATTCTCCAGGCGGAGAAAAAGGAGAGCTTTAAAGAGATGAAGGGATCACAGAGAAAAACCTAAGGAGGCCGCAATGATGGGGCGGACGCCACCGGCCCGGGCGGGCCACCGCCCACTCACTCACCTCGCACCCCTGGCCTCCGCAGCGTCCTCCAGCGTCGTGCCCATCCCGGGGACCTTCTCCTGGCCACTGGCCGCTCGCGGCAAGCCTCGTAGGGGCATGCTGCGTCGAGCCGTGTTCTCCGACGTGCAGCGCAAGGCGCTGGAGAAGATGTTCCAGAAGCAGAAGTACATCAGCAAGCCCGACCGCAAGAAGCTGGCGTCCAAGCTGGGCTTGAAAGACTCACAGGTGAGGGCAGTCTCCCCAGAGCCCCTCCCCCCACGCATCGTACGAACGGGAAGGTTCTCTGAAACCGCCTAGGTCCCATTGTACAGAAGCGGTAAGGTCTAGAGAGGGAGTAAGCGCACGAGCCAGCTTCACGGAGGCTTCTCGCGATAGCCCGCTACTCTCCCCACCCCGTCTCTCCCGGGCCCAGCGTCTCCCCCACCCCCGCCCACCTGGGCCAGGTGCCGGAAGAAAGGGCGAGAGGTGCGTGCAGCCGAGCTGGTGGGGGTAGGGTAAGGGCCACTTCCGGTCCGAACTCACTTTACTGGGTGGGGAGCCGGCAAAGAGAGGAAGAATAGGGCCTCCTTCCCACCCACTTGGGGCGGTGGCGGGGGTTCTGCGCTAACCGCTGCTTCTCCCCTGCTCTCACCCCTCTCGCCCCAGGTGAAAATCTGGTTCCAGAACCGACGCATGAAGTGGCGGAACTCCAAGGAGCGCGAGCTCCTGTCTAGCGGGGGCTGCCGCGAGCAGACCCTTCCCACCAAACTCAATCCGCACCCGGACCTCAGCGACGTGGGCCAGAAGGGTCCAGGGGACGACGACGACGAGGAGGACGAGGGCCCGGGCAGCCTCCGCCACCGCCTGGTCTATCATCACCCGTCCCCCGACCCTCGGCACCTGCGGGACCCGCGCCTGGAAGGGCCGCTGCCCCACTCGCCCGCGCACTCTGGCAGCCCCGACAAACCTTCGGACTTCTCCGACTCCGAGGAGGCTGAGGAGGCTGAGGAGGAGGAGATCACCGTGTCTTAGAAGCCCTCCCGCGCCCGGGGTACCGATTCTAAGTGCTTTGAAATTGAAGAGGTGGGATTCGGTGCGTGTTCACTTGCCCCCGCTGCGCAGACGCTGCCGCTCCCCGCTGTAGAACTGTCGCGTCGTCGAGGGCACCCTGGCCCCTTCCATTGCCCCCCAACGACATTCCCTTGCCCCACACCACCTACCAACAGCCCTCTCCGCATAAGTTAAATTTAGGTCTTGGTCCCAGCCTTAACTTTGCCGCGAGGGCCCCTGTTTAGCTTCCTTATTGCAAGATATTTTCAACACAGTGGGGTGTTCACTCTCCCAGCCCGGGTTTAGCTGTGAGCCAGGCCCTGCTGGTCTACAGCAGCAACAACCCTATAAGGTAAGAAACCTTTTCTGAAGTAGGAAACCGAGATACGAGTCACAACATCAAGCATATAACTTCAAGACCCCTGACTTCCTAGATCCCTCCACCTCCCCACCTTAGGTAGTGAGTGCCTCTTGCCCAACTCCAGACACTGGTAACCCAGTCTTCCCGTAGCAATGCCCTTAGAAAGCTCAAGAATTTCAAAAAAGAAAAAAAAAAATCTACCCGTGCCTTCTGGTCTAAGGTACCACATAAATATTGAGTCTTTTCTATGTGTCATATTCCAAACGCTCTCTGGGCAAAGAAGTGAGTTCTCTAAATGGGAGGAAGAGTCGGCCTCTATTTCGAGTGTGTGTTTTAAAGACTTTTCTTTACTATTTCTGCATGCATAGTATATGCACCAAGCACTCTACCTTGTGCCCTTTTATTATTTCTGGGGAGGTTTCACTGAGCACTGGGCATGATGTGAACAGAGAGAGACCCACAAGCCTCTTTGATTTTTTTTTCATAGAACTTTGCTGTCTTTGCACAGCTTTTGTGAACTGTACACTATTTTGTACACTTGTATGGATATTTTATACCAAGTTTATTGTGAATAATATAAAGGACTGACTAGATTTCCTTCTCTCTTTTCTTGCAATGGTTTTTAAACTTTAAAAAGGTAGCTGTTTAATTGAGTAACTTATAAAAAATACTTATTTTGTATTTTTACCATGTACAGATTTTTATATATGTATATATGTATCAAATGAACAAATGCCAAATAAAAAGTAGGATGCACATAATGATCAAGTGTTATCCCTAACTTACAGAATGTTAGAGCTATTCTAGTGCAAGGAATGGAGCTATTCTAATCCAAGTGCTGCTGGAATTTACAGAAGGTATGCTCATATTCAAGAGAGGAAGGCACTTGTCTAGAGCACCCAACTAGTTAGAGGACAAGCTAGAACTAGAACCCATCTCTGACTCTCGGGCCAGTGCCTCTTCTGCTTCCCTGTACCATAAAATAGCCAATTTTGCTATGGTTACAAGTAAAATAGCTCCAGTCAAGTGATGTCAACAAGTTGAGTCTGTGATGATCCTTCTCCTCCTACTCCAAGGACTGAAATGATGGACTAGAAGACAACAATGAAAGTCAGTTTAAGTGGTTCAACTTTGCAATGGTTTTTCTTTCCCTCCTTGAAGGCATATTTCCTAGTCCCCAGGGAAGCCCAAAGGTGGTTTTGACTTCTGTGTGTGAACTGATTTTAATAGGAATGACATCTACAGGCAGGACTTGGGAGCCCAGATACAGACTCTGGGTCTCCCCAGTGAAACTGAAGTTCTTTAAAGACTAACTTTCAGCAGAAATGATTTATTTAACCAGCAACCAGTAAAGAGCATCAGGTTAGAACCCTGGCAAGGGCTCTGTGCTCTTTGAGAGACTGATCTCTGCCACATCAGCCACATAACACATTTGTTTATTGTCCTAACCCACACCCCAACAGCCGGGAAAAAAAAGTTGTTAAGCTTAAATTTCAATAGTTTGCGTTATATTTGAAATTTGAATATATTCTATTCTCAACTCTCTTTGTTCAGATAACACAAGCCCTCTCCATGCTAAGGTCCTGATATCCTGCCTTCCTGGGCCCATTCCTGACACTGGCAATCACTGTTTTCATTGTCGTGGGAATTTGGGGGGAAAATTAATTATCATAGTTATCTTAATTCAAGAAATCTCCCACATTTCCCCCTCAGTATATATGAAAGTGTTAGCATGGTGTCCTGCATATGGTAGGCATACAATCTTTCAGACAGGAAACCCTCTCTGCTCTGAGTGATTCAGGCTATTTTCTCCTTCCCTCTGCTGATGCCCAGAGAGATAACCAGGGATGGAATCCTGGCCAGAAATGGCCCACACTTCCCTCTCTGCCAGCTCAAGCCTGCAGTTATTACTTAGAGTCGAGAACTATTTTCAGGCATGGGGATGGATTTGTGTCTACATCAAAGTACTCTAGTGGCACACCCGTGTGCGTTGCAGCATTATTTACAATAGCCAAGAGATATTCATGTTCACATCATTCCCATTATTCACAATAGCTTCCACAACCCAAATGTCCATCGATGGGTGAATAGATAAAGTGGTAAACACACACGATGGAATATTATTCCACCTTAAAAAGGAAAGAAATCCTGTCACATGTTATCCTGTCAACATGAATAAACTTTGAGGACATATGCTAAGTGAAATAAGCTAGTAATAAAAAGGCAAATACTATATGATTGCAATTATATGAGGTATCTAACGTAGTCAAACTCATAGAAACAAAGTAGAATTGCAGTTGCCAAGGGCTGGGGTCACAGGGAAATAGGGGGTTGTTCAATGGGTGCAGAATTTCAGTAATATTTCAGTATTGGAAAAATAACTCCCATGTTAGCAGATTTTAAAATCCAGCAATGGTCAAAATTATGGCAGGCAAGTGAAAAAAATCTGAGGTAAGCAATATATATATATATATATATATATATATTGTTTTTTTTTTCCTTTGCCACACCACACGGTGCGGCTTGCAGGATCTCAGTTCCCTAAACAGGGATTGAACCCAGGCCATGGCAGTGAAAGCCCGGAATCTTAACCACTAGGCCACCAGGGAATTCCCTGAGGTAAGCAATATTATCATAAGGCAATGTAAAATTCAAACCAAGAAGTATTGTGTCATGTAAATAAAGTTTTTTTCTGTATTAAGAAAAGTTAAGAAAACCCAGAAAAGGAAAAAAATATACTCTGGAGGTTTTTAAAAAATGTATGCTACTCCCCCATATGCACAAAGCTTTACTTCTTGAGAATTACAAATGGCACATTTTGGCTCATTTTAGTGCCAATTTTAGCTGAGCGTCACAAGGGTGAGAATCATGTTCGTTTTGCATACTGTTTTCCTAGTGTCATGCATAGTCCCTGACATGTATTAGGTGTTTGATATGTGTTGAATAAATAAATTAATTAAAAGGAGGGACAGAGACACTCTAGATTCTAGACCATAGGTCTGAAAGTTGAAGGATTACTTAGCCTGATAATAAAGTAAAAGAAAAACACTAAATTAACTGGTCAGATGTGTTTTTAAAAATCAAACCAATTGGGCTTCCCTGGTGGCACAGTGGTTAAGAATCCACCTGCCAATGCAGGGGACGTGGGTTCGAGCCCTGGTCCAGGAAGATCCCACATGCCACGGAGCAACGAAGCCCGTGTGCCACAACTACCGAGCCTGTGCTCTAGAGCCTGTGCTCCGCAACAAGAAGAGCCACCACAATGAGAAGCCCGTGCACCGCAAAGAAGAATAGCCCCTGCTCACTGCAACTAGAGAAAGCCCGTGTGCAGCAACGAGGACCCAACACAGCCAAAAATAAATAAATTAATTAATTAATTAAAAAAAAGAAATCAAACCAATTACTTTAGTCCAAAAGACTAAAATAGTTATAAGCTGAAGAATAATAAATACAACAAAGAAAGAATTTTTATTGAACACTTATTATGTGGCAGGCAGGCATTCTGCTAGGTGCCTTACACAGCAGTGCTTCTCTGACTTTAATGAGCATAAGACCACCTGGGGAGCTCATCAAACTGTAGATCATGATTCAGAGCTCTGGGTATTTATTTAGCATTGCTAACCCCTTGTTGGTCCACAGAACACACTTTAAGTAGTGAAGATTTACATGAAGTTTTATCCTCACAATAACCCATCTAAGGTAGATATTATTATCCCACAATACAGATGGACAAACTGAGGCTAGGAGTTTTGGTAATTTCCCCATGCTTACCTCAGCCAGAATTCAAATTCAGGTGCATCTAACTCTAATACACCATCCTCCTTCCTTGACTAAACTGGTAAAAACTCATTTAACCAAACTCCAACCAATAGGCACTCTTTTTTTTTGGTATGTATGTATTTATTTATTTATTTTCACACACACACACACACACACACACACACACTGTATTTTATTTTTACAAGAGATAGACTGACACCAAGCACTGTAAATGGATGACCACAACAAAAGCAGCAATGATTGCAATTACCAAACACGAAACACACTCACACTATGTCATAATATTGACATTCAGTCCAGTGATCCTCCACCGTAACGGCTCCTTTGCTTTGCAGTGAAAATTGATTTTTATATATATATATATATTTTTTTTTTTTTTTTTTTTTTTGCGGTGTGTGGGCCTCTCACTGTTGTGGCCTCTCCCGTTGCGGAGCACAGGCTCCGGACGCGCAGGCTCAGCGGCCATGGCTCACGGGCCCAGCCTTTCTGCGGCATGTGGGATCTTCCCCGACCAGGGCACGAACCCGTGTCCCCTGCATCGGCAGGCGGACTCTCAACCACTGTGCCACCAGGGAAGCCCTGATTTGTATAGTTTTTGAATAGGCACTCTTAATAGAGCTTTTATGTTTTTTAATATTCTGAAGTTATGAGAAAAAAATCAATGGCTATTTAGGGATTTCCCTGGTGGCATAGTGGTTAAGAATCTGTGTGCCAATGCAGGGGAGATAAATTCAAGCCCTTGTCTGGGAAGATCCCACGTGCCGTGGAGCAACTAAGCCCAGGCACCACAACTACTAAGCCTGCACTCTAGAGCCCGTGAACCACAACTACTGAGCCCGTGTGCCACAACTACTGAAGACCGAGCGTCTAGAGCCTGTGCTTGGCAACAAGAGAAGCCACCGCAATGAGAAGCCCACGCACCGCAACGAAGAGCAGCCCCCGCTCACCCCAACTAGAGAAAGCCCGCAGGCAGCAATGAAGACCCAATGCAGCCAAATATAAAATATAAATAATTAATTAAAAAGAAAAAGAAATCCAAATTAAAAAAAAAGAATCATTGGCTATTTAAAAACCTTTCTCATCCACCTAAATCTCTCGAACTACCAGCTCTCCTCCCTGAGGTCTAAACCGGTGATCCACAAACTGTGATGTTAAAAAACCTCTTTACACTCTTAAAAATCACTGAATATCTAAAACACTTTTTTGTTTCTGTGGGTTTTATCTATCGATATTTTTGGTATAAGAAATTAAGGCTGAGAAAAAATTTAAATACTTATTACTTCATTTTAAAACAATTTTGTTAAATATCCATACAAATACCATACTTTACGAAAGATAAGTATATATACAAAACAAAACAATTAGAAAGAGGAGTGGCGTTGCTTTACATTTCT